TCAAACAGCAAGTTTAATAATGGCTCTGTAATGGCTCCAGTCATGAAAATATATAGTCATACAACTTTCTGAAATACTTTTAAAGAAATTCAGAACATGTAAACCCTTGTTCAGTGTGGATAACAATATTTCTTCTGAAAAGCACGTGTGTCTACAGCTGAGTCTTAACTGCAGAGAAACTTTGTTTTTAGAAAGGAAGCTGTAAAAAAAAGCCTGGAGCCTTTTCAAAGCAAACTATTTTGAACACGGGGAAAAAAACCCAACCCCCAAACAAAACCTTTTGATTTGAGACGGCCCAGGGTGGAGAAACAGAAAAGCTGCTTACAGTTTTCTCCACTCCCTCCCCCGCAACTTCTTCCTCAAAAATTGGTCTGAACCTCTGTTCAGGATGTGCCTTTTAAAACTGTTTTACAATTTCTGTACACTGGGCAACTGAATGCAAGTGAAAAAGAATAGACTAGACTGTGGAAACATCAGTTTCATAGTTGGTAGGGTAGGAAGGGACCTGAGCAGATCATCAAGTTGGACCCCCTGCCATGGCAGGAAAGAGTACTGGGCTCAAACAATCCCAGCAAGGTGTTCATCCAGCCTGCTTTTAAAGCCCCCCAGGGTAGAAGCCAGCACCACTTCTCTTGGAAGTTGGTTCCAGATCCTAGCCACCCTGACTGTGAAGTAGCGCCTCCTGATATCTAGCCTGAATCTACCCTCTGTCAGCTTGTGACTATTACTTCTAGTCACTCCTGGTAGCGCTCAGGGGAACAGGGACTCCCCCAATGCCTGCTGGTTCCCTCTCACTAGTTTGTAAATGGCCACTAGACCCCCCCTCAGCCTTCTCTTGTGGAGCCTGAACAGGTTCAGGTCCCCTAGCCTCTCCTCGTAGGGCCTACTCTGCTGCCCCCTGATCAGGCAGGTGGCCCTCCTCTGGACCCTCTCCATGTTGTCCACTTCCCTCCTGAAGTGCAGCGCCCAGAACTGGATGCAGTACTCCAACTGCGGCCTGACCAGTGTCACATAGAGGGGGAGGATCACCTCTTTGGACCTGCCTGAGATGCATCTGTGGATGCATGACAAGGTGCAGTTGGCCTTCCTGACCACGTCCCCACACGGTCGGTCCATGTTCATTTTGGCATCAATAATGACTCCAAGATCCTTTTCTGCCTCTGCACTGATGAGAAGGGAGTTCCCCAGCCTGTAGGTATGCTGCTGGTTCTTCCTCCCCAGGTGCAGTACTTTGCACTTGTCAGTGTTGAAACCCATCCTGTTGTCATCTGCCCACCCCTGTAACCTATCTAGGTCCGATTGCAGCCTATTCCTCCCTTCTAGCGTGCCCATTTCTCCCCACATCTTACTGTCATCTGCGGATTTGAACAGGGTGCTTTTTACCCCCTCATCCAAGTCGCTGATGAAGATGTTGAACAGTGCAGGCCCGAGGACCGAGACCTGCAGAACCCCACTGCCCACATCCCTCCAGGTTGAAAATGACCCATTCACCACCACTCTCTGGGTGCGGCCCTCCAGCCAATTAGTGACCCATCTGACTGTGTAGGTGTCAATGCCAGAGTCCCCTCGTTTTTTAATGAGAATGGGGTGAGAGACAGTGTCGAAGGCCTTCCTGAAGTCCAGAAAGACTACGTCCACTGCTACCCCTGTGTATAAGTATTTTGTGACCTGGTCATAGAAGGCCACCAGGTTGTTCTGACAGGACCTGCCTCTAATGAACCCATGTTGGTTGCCCCTAAGCATAATCTTCCCTGCTGGCCCCTCGCGGACATGCACCAGGAGAATTCTCTCAAAAAGCTTACCTAGGATCGAGGTAAGACTGACTGGCCTATAGTTTCCTGGGTCCTCCTTCCTTCCTTTTTTGAAAATGGGAACCACATTGGCCCTTTTCCAGTCCTTTGGCACAATGCCAGAACACCATGAGTGCTCGTAAAGCTGTGCCAGGGGTCCCGCAACGACCTCTACTAATTCCCTCAGCACTCTGGGGTGGAGATCGTCAGGACCTGCTGATTTAAATATGTCCAGTCCTTCCAGAAGTTCCTTGACTAGGTCCTCAGTGACCCTAGGCCTGGGTATGCCTCTCCTGGGTCCTAGGGGGGTCCTGGTGGGGGGAGGGGTGACCCGGGCCCTGCTCAGAAAAATGGAGGCAAAGAAATTGTAAATAGGTTAGCTTTGCTATCTGGTGCAACGACTAGATTTCCTAGCATGTCCTGCAGAGGCCCCACGTTACCCAGTACCTTCTTTTTACCCACTATGTATTTAAAAAAGGACTTCTTGTTGTCCTTCATCTGAGTAGCTAGTCCCAGTTCCATCTCCGCCTTGGCCTTCCTGACTGCCCCGAGTAACCAAGGTATAGTCCTCTCTGGTGATGGCCCCCACTTCCATTGGGTGTACGCCTCCTTTTTAGCTAGGAGACGTTCCCGTATGCTTTTGGTGAGCCATGGGGGCTCTCAAAGTCGCACATTTATTTTAAATTCAAACCTGTTTTCAAGTTACTGAATACTAGGAAAAAGTCCCAAACTACCCAGATTTGCATGTGCAATGTTTTTAAACTCTAATAAAATTATAAAAAAGGGAAACATTCAACATGTTGGAACAGCCAGTACTGGAGGTAGTATGATACACTGCTGAGGTCATGCAATTATTTAAGCCACTCTAAATTAAGAACATAACAATTGAGGCACATTTTTGGGCTGACTGTAGCTGACAAACTGTTCTGCATGTTTAATTCAATAAAGCATTGTTCTAAGGGCTACAGCAGCACCTAAGATTGCTACCTGTAAACAACGCATAGAATACTATTATTCACATGGACAAATACCTCACTGTTTGAACTTTCAACAAACGACCCTCCAAACATAGCAGACATCCATTCACAGCTACAGATCAGTAGAGGCTTATGGGCATTTATGCTTCCATCATCCAGCTTAAAAGTCACATCTGCCATGGAAACAAAGACATAATAAGTACAAATCCAGTGTTAAACATGCTAGAAACTCAAAGCACAGCAAAAAGCACTCACTTCTGAACATTTTAAGGTAGTGTTTCACTGTCTTTTTTTCAGTGTCTCAAAGTTTACAGAGGCAACTAAAAAAAAAAAATAAAAAAAAAATAATAAAAAAGGAAAGCTAAAACCTGACTGGGAGATACTAGATGCCCAGCACTGTTGAAAATCTGACCACTTGTTTAGCAAGCCAAGTATGGATTCTAAATAGCTAAACTTTTGGCTCCCAGTTTTGAAAAGGTTGCCTTCAGGTACTTTGCAAACTTTGCTCATTTCTCCTCTCCTAATCATTAGGAATATCCACTAGTTGGTGGAGTTATATTAGCATAATTGAGAGGAGTATCAGGATCTTTACTACAAGTGCGCATTTACTCACCAGAAAATGTCCCTTTGCAAAGGCACTCTTTTATTCGATTAGCCTTCCTGACATGAAATGCTTTAGTAATCTCTTGATTCATGAAGGCTTCTTTGTTCATAATATTTTCCACCATCATCCGTAAATCAAATACTTCTAAGATTTCAGCAATCTGAGCTAGCTTTGTTAGATCTTTTTCACTTTCATTCAGTTGCCCAGTGTACAGAAATTGTAAAACAGTTTTAAAAGGCCCAGCCTGAACAGAGGAATCCATTTTGACCACAGTTACAGGACACATTCTATTTGAGATAGGGTTGACTTGAATTTCTTTATGCATACTAACAAACCCTTTACCCCATGATGACAAAGCTTTTGTTGCAGAACTAGTGTCTTCAGCTTTCAATTCCAGCGTCTTTAAAGTGCCATCACTTTCTGGTGTTGGAAGTTTGGCATCAGACATTTTTAAGGTTGCCTCATCACTGTCATCATTTCTTCTAGACAGGAAGTCCCTACTGATGTGTTCCTTATTATACTGCATTTCAGTTAAGCCCGGAGATTCCTCACATTCCATTAAAAAAAGATCATAAAACTTTGAAGAGGAGGTAGCTAGGTAAATCTTGTGAGCAAAAATGTGATTCTGCTCCTGGAGAACAAACATGACATCTGCACACAAAGGACTGTCCAATAAATATCCAGCTTCATTCGTACTGGGTACAGGACACTCTGGGATTTTGATAACTGGAGGAGGTGCCTTGGGAGGTAGGAATGGAGCTTGAAGTAATGGTTTTTTAACCTTCTTCAAATGTGATTTCCAGAACTGCAGGTGTCTTCTGGAGATCAGTGCAGCTCTAATCGCATTATCAAAAACATCCTTAATTCCAAACTGGTCAAATACACTGGTTTCATAATATGGGATGCCAAGCTCCTTGGCAACCTCTCTGCCTCTTTCTGGTGGTAAAATGTCTCCCCTTTTTATAGGCCTAAGATTAAAACAAAATAAAAAAAAACACAAACCAGGACTGTCATGAACCACATTTGAAAAAGTTTAAATCCCAAAGGGCACATCTAAATATCTATCCCCTAGATTTATTATTTGTATTGCTCAGTTAATAAAAACAAAAACAGTATGATATGAAGATCTTTTAAGACATACAACTATTTTACTAGACGCACCAAAATATCTAGTTGAAACTCTGTTTAAATTTGGTAGATGCTTTGTGACATAATTGCATTACTTATAATGTCAAGCTATCTTGTATTCCCATCTTCTGTGGGGGGAGGATGTTTATAGGCCCTATATTTAAGTTTCCATTATAAATTATTTTCTGAAATCTGTTTTTGCATTGGGCCTTTGTTGCTTGCACTCCAAAGGAAAATTCTGGTATTCTGCTAAAATCATCATTGAACTTGAATATCAAAGAGAGCTGGGCCCAGACTGCTGCTGAAAAACTGACTGGGATCAGCTGCAGCAGAATGGGAGGGTGAGAGAGAGAGAGGGAGGGAGAGAGAGAGAGAGAGAGAGAGAAAGAGGAAATGTGTGGCTGGACTTTGCTCACACAGAATGAAGAAATTACATTTAAAACTAAACCTGTGAAACAAATATTGTTTTTATTGCAGATATCCAAAAGTTAGGAAATGTCAAGATTTACAGGTTCACAAGACATTTGAATTCAGCTCCCTGTGCACATGCACTGTGGTATAGAATTACATAGTATTTTTTTCTTTAAGACATTGGTCTCATTTAATACACAGCCTATATACAAAAAAGGGGCAGGTGAAGATTATACTGGCAATTATAAATACATTTGCCAAATGTATGCCTGATTCTGCTTCCTGAATAACTTAGGATGTTTTATGCATACCCATTTTCCTTTGTGGGTTACCTTCCTAAAAAAATACTTTGAGACACTTTTTTTTGTTAAAGCAGTAATTGGTATTAACCACAGTATATCACAGAGGTTCCCAAACTTTTTCTTATTGTGTACCCCTTCTAGATTTACCAGCTGCACCTGTAACCCAGCAGCATACATTTTATATTTCAACCCCTTAAATGCCAATTATTATTATAATGAAAATTGAATCCACCATTACATAATTTCTCCCATGTACCCCTCAGAGACATCTTGTGTACCCTGGTATATGATAATGGTAAGTCAATTAAGATGCCAAAATATGCATGTCAGACTAGACTGTTGTTACTCATTAGTATATAACACAGTAGTACCCAGACACCTTAGAGAAGTTCCCCAACTTACAAAGGCATTGTAGAAAACTGTAAGAGACAGTTTGTGTCAAAGAGTCTACCATGTAAATAGGCCAGAATAGAAGAAAAGTAGTATTTATTCTTAATTTATAGGATGTGAAACTGAAGTAAAGAAATCAGTGGGTTGTTTTCCTTTAAAAAGTAATATATTTGGTTAAAAGCATGATATTTTAAAAGTATTAATTTTGTTTAACCTTTACCTTGCTAAAGGCCGTCTGGCTCTATTAACAGCTTCAAGATCAGCATAACGGAGATCTAGCTGGCAGCCAACCAGTATAACAGGTGTGCGAGGACAGAAGTGCTTGATTTCTTGATACCACGTTGTTTTCACATGGTTCAGAGAATTAGGATTAGCAATTGAAAAACACAGAACAACTACATCAGACCTGGAATGACATCAAGAAGAATATGTGTATTTCCAAAACTGAATGCATCTTAGAAAATACACAAAGCTGAAATTCAATCAGTTCAAGCTGAAGCTATTCAACCACAAACAGCAAACAATGCAATAAAATTCAGATGTCAGAATACATCTCATCCATAGCATAGTTTGATAAAAGCTATACATTCCACCACAACAGCATATAAACACAATGTATCAGACTTAGGAAGCTTCCTTATTCCACAACAGATGTTAGCTCTGTGCAAGTACAAGGAAGACGTGCTCTACTCTAAAATTAAAGTTACCATAGTTAAGAGTTCACCATTCTATTTTTTAAACAGTAGTATATCTTCATACACAAAAACCTGTTTACTGAAAAGTCACTTTCACATTTTATGCAAGGATTCAGAACAGTCAAATGAGGAACCAAAACATATTCCTGAAATTGCAGGCAATGAATATATTTACCGTATGCTTTTATATACAATAATGCAATGACCTCACCCAACAATTACTGCACTGCAATAAGGTCTTCAATAAATAAAGTCATTAAACTCAAAACTGTTGTAGAATTTCCAGCCAGCACTGATCATTTCTTTAATGGAAGTTAAGATGAGTGCTTTAAAAAGGCATAATATAGTAAAACAGTTACCAATAAAGACAACGTTTGGTAACCTTTGTAGATTTTTAGGAAAAATTCTTTATCAAAAGAAATTGTTACACAGAAAGCGTATGCATGGATTAAGACTTTTTCCTGTAGCAAAAAATTGAGTAATGTATTCTCCCATATAACACATGTACCTTTCCCCCAAAAGCCAGATGCTGGAAATTAGAGTGTACATTTATTCCAGAGATATGGTAAGAGCAGGTTCTGCCACTTACCAGCTGAAACAGAAAATATGATCTGCAGGGACCCACAGGGAGCAGAACAATGAGCAGGCTCAACTCCCTAGCTACTGCTACTTAGTTACATACTACAAGGAAAGATTTTTCCCCTTCATTCTACTTTTTAAAAACAAGGTGTTGATTATATTCCAGGGCATGGTATATGCAAGAAAATATGGTACTTGTTTTATTTCACAGGTTCTTTTGTCATAAGGAGGGTCCAAATTTAGGAAAATTCTTCAGAATCTACTTGAGCATTTTCTTCAATTGAGTCTAAGCCACTATTCAAAAAGTTGAGAGACAGGTATCACAAACTGGCTCTTACCATTTGGCCCCTCAGCAAACAGATAAATATTGGAAGCAATTTGAATCTTATAGACTAGAGATTGTAAATGCCAAGAAAAATGCTGAATAGACTTTTAAAAAAGAATTGGGAGAAGGGGGAAATATTTTTTGCAGATGTTATCCCTGAAGAATTATCAGAAGCTAAATTCAGCCATAAACTGCTCATCTTGCTTCTATTAATCTTTAATTTAGCACAAATGTATTGTATCTGCAGTTTGGGTAATGAGCTAGATTGGTGAATCTCAACATTTTGCCTTTTAAATCGTTAATGCAATATGTTCTCAGTATAACTGCTTTCCATACTTTCACTCTCACTGAGGACACAAATATATCTAACCATTTCTGAAGCAAGCTACATGCATGAATATACTACTGGGAGCTTACAGTTAATGCAAGAGAAGTGGTCTTGCATTTAGTTTATATCTGATATAAAATTACAGCACATCCATAATGTCAAGAGAAAATGCACTTTAAATTTGAATAAGTTATCAGTTAAACAAAGGGGGGTATATGTCAAATACACTAACCTTTCACAACTTTGGGGATTTGCTTCAAAATCACACGATCTCAAGTACAATGGGCTTGAGAATCAAATCTAGTCTCTAGTGATAATTTGTCCAGATGACAAAGCAACCACAAAATTTTGCAGATAGGAGTAACCACAGTAAGGTGAAGAGTTACCGGGGGAGAGGAGTTTGCATTTGGCTACCACATAATGTCAGGCTCTTATATCTCTTTTCATTGCTTAAATTTACACTCATTTGAAGTGGCAGAAAGATAATTAAGAATATCTGACACTTTACTATGAATAAATATCTGACCATTAAAAATTAGTTTTAGATTTTACAGTGCAGCTGGTCAGGATGTTTCTCTCAGCCTGCTGGTCATAGGTTACCACTATAACTCTCATGACATTAAAAACTTATTGGGTGCTGTCCCAGGGGCATAAGTGCGGGGGCCCATACCCCAGAAAATGAAGATTACTTACCCACTTTAGGGCTCTGGACTCCAGAAAAGAGACGCTGACAGGAAAATCCTGCACAGTTTGTCAGCCACATCTATAAACAGCTGGGGCCGGCGGGTGATGTTACGGATGATCATGGCCAACCAGGATAAAAGCCGGCACCAGCTGGGAGCTGGGGAGAGCAGGAGAGGCAGCAGGAGCTGCGGATGCTCTCCACACTGGCAGCGATCAGTGCCGGCAGAACATAGAGACGCTGATCAGGCAGGGATACCCAGGCAGCAATGGCTGCTGAAGAACCCCACGCGGGTCACGGGCAGAACCAGCGTGTGGGGGGAGACCCCACTCCAGGAAGAGCCAGGAGAAGATTGGGAAGCAGACAACACCCCCCGCACCGGGCATGTATGGACTGGGTCGGGGGAGGATAATTAGCCGTGAGACAGAAGTCCAGGAAGCTCTCAGTCAGGGCAGAGAGCCAAACAGTGTCGAGGGACACTGCTAGGCACAGGCTTTAGGCAAAGTCCATCTAATAAGGCTGTCCAGCCTGATCCTAAGTTTTCCTTTTACGTACCTGCCTTTATTTTCTTTCCAGTATGGTTTTCTCCTTTTCTTACCTACTAACCTTTGCCTGCTCTTCTGTTGCCTTCTATCTTTCTTTGTACTTCTTATTTTGTTGACTACTCATCAGTGTGGGGCCCAGGTGGCAGCCAGACACCAAGGACTGTTCACGAAAAGCAGCAGTGGGGGGTGTTTAAGGTAGATGAGCTTTAGATAAAGCATCCTTGCCGCCATTTTGAAGCATGGGGACACTGCTCCACAAGACATGGAGGCAGGCTGGAGCGCAGTAATTACCACACTCCAACAGATTTGATTAACTGAGTCTGTTCCAATGCACTGTACTTACAGAGCACTGGAGCAGCCTCTGTGCTCGAGTATATTTTCTACCTGGATGAACCATCTAATAGGTACCAACAAGATCTTGCATTGTGATGAGAACCTTGTTCCTCCTGTTATTGTAGGACAATTGCTATTTTTGTTGGAAATTACAGGATCTGACTTATTTTCTCATACTCCTCATAGAGTAAAAAAAAAAAATTATGGGAAAGTACATGCATTTTTTAAATTGTAGTGCCTAAAATCCCCAGTTGGGTCCTCACTGTCTTTGTGCTGTACAAACCCATAGTAAGAAACTGTTTCTATCCATAAAGAGCTAGAAATATTAACAGAAAAGACAGAAGCAAGAGAGAGTTGCTGAGTACACTTGACAGGCCAGGGCCAAAGCTGAGAACAAAATCCAAGTTTGTTGATTCCCAAGTAGACAGAAAAGTCCTGACTACTGTACTCCTTTGTGTATAGTACAGTTTGAACCAGCAAAATAGCTATGTGAGGGGTAAAATGTGGGGCAATACTTGATTTGGGCAATTTAAATCTTATGTTTCTAATTCAAGAGGCTAAAAATTTATCCCATGTGTCCCAAATAAAAAATGTACAGCTTAATTTATTAATAAAATGGAGAAAGTCTGATTTAAAACCATGCCTTGACATCTCCACACATTACAAGCTACAACCGCATTTGTTTAACTTACCTGAGGTCACTTAACTGTAAATAATTTTTTTTTAAATGTATTTTAAATCCATTTCTATGCGCTTTGCTTACCTTTGCTGTTTCTTTCTCAGCTTGAACAATGATAAAAGACAATCTGTTTCATTTCTATGTATAGTCAGCTTTTATTCTACCTGTATCTTCAGTATATGGAGCTTAAACACTAGATAATTTTTAGTGAATACAAACAAAAAACCCTACCAAAGTACAGTTATAGTTCATGAAGACATCTAAATTTTAAATATATAACATTTTGACATTTGATAATGAATATTGAATATTAAATACTAATTTAGAACTTCTTCACAGAACTATCCATAGGGTACCAGGAAACATGGATGGGTAACATGCAAGGTACCGGTCTATGTAGATTGTTTTCAAATACTAACAGAAAGCATATAATTATACTATTATATATCCTGAAATGCGATGTGAAATGATGTAATAAAGTTAAGTACTGCCAGAGACCCAAAGAGGAAACTGCAACAATTCAGTCTATGATCTTGGACATTCAAAACTGCTTCCTTTGTGTCTTCAGAATACGAACATACTACTGCAGGTGTGTAACCAGACAATTTATTTTGTGGATTTACCAAAAGTTAAGAGATAAATATGAACAAAGCTTTATGGTTTGCAACTACATTCTTATAATCAAACCCCATAATTACTGGCCCTGAGTGGCACCAATAATTGCAAATCAGTTAACACACGTGCTTGGAAGGATCTGCCTGTTCTGCCAAAAATATCAGAATAACTTGTTTCCATGCTCCCAGGCTGCTGGACAAGAGAAAGCGCAACATAAATCTAAAGAACTTGACAGATGTAAGTTGTGAATATTTCCTTCACATTTACACTTAACAACTGTTGGCCACCAACTGATCCACCAAATACTGCAAAGCATTCTACATGGCACTATGCAAGAAAATATTTTCCTCCCTCCCCAAAGTTCTCTGCCTGAAATATTCCAATTTACTAATATTTAGGGTGATTTTTCTCTTGCAGGCTTCAGGGGTGAGAAGCAGCATCCTAAGCACTGGTATTTATGCAGAAGGTAGGGTTGTATTTAAATTTATTTTTTATCTCTCACTTGTTCTGTTCTGTTTTTCAGGTGAGGAGGAGCCATTAGGCTTAATTAGATCAAAGACCACTAGGGCCCTGGACTGGATCTTTTCAAATACTGGCTATCTGAAATGAGAAACAACAGGGTTTT